GCGTTTGCGTGCTTCTCACTGTGAAAATCAGTGAGAAGACGCAAGCGTCCATAGGAAAGCATTATGAATGCTTTCCTATGAGACAGGCTGAATGCACGCGCAGCTCCTGCCGCGCATGCGCATTCAGCCGAAGAGGAGGAGGAGAGCCCCCTGTACGGCGCTGGAAAAAAGGTAAGATTTAACCCTTTCTTCGCCATCCAGCCCGGCGGGAGTTGGACACTAAGGGTGGGGGCACCCTCAGGGCACTATAGTGCCAGGAAAACGAGTATGTTTTCCTGGCACTATAGTGGTCCTTTAAGCTAAAGTTGTTCAGGTGACTATAGTGTCCCTTTAAGAGATATTGCAAATTGACATGGTGCTAGAAATGGAACATATTGTTTTTCCTAACTGTTTCTTTAAGCAGTAACCCCAGTGCATAATATGTTTGCGCCTTTTTGTCCCAGACGAATTACAATAACAATAATGCATAAACAAGCTTCAAGGCTATACTACGACTCTTTCAGTACACAATATACTGTGGTAACCCCAAGTTAATGGAACTTCCCCAAATCCGGGAATCTCCCACGACTGTGCACTTACGTCTTAGACAACAGATAACCTATTCAGACTTTAAGATGCCATCTTGAACTAAATCAGGAAAATTTCCATGACGTTTGCACCCTTCTGTTATGGCCTTGTATGTTTGCCAAATTAAGGGAGGTCCTAAAATGAATAAAGTAAAAGAAGTGTTACTTTTTCATATATGAACTATGGTGACCATAAAATAAAGATACCTAAGGTATAAATAGGTGTTCTTTTAAAATGTTAAAAAACAGAGGAGAGACTTGGAGACAGACGCCGCTCCATCTTAAAATGACAGAGAGGCTGACATGATGACATGTTCAGAAGGGTATGTTAACCTATTAATGATATTTGCAAGAATTTAGTTTAATCTTATTAACTCTGCTATAATGGATTTTATATGTCTATATTTATATTTTTATATAATAAATATCCAAAAAGACAAAACTATTGCTTCCAAGACAATCCTTATTTTATATTGTATTCTCAATTTTTTATATATGTTAAATAGAGGATCTCTTACACTAACTATATAAAATTATGGCTAAGATATCTGTATGGTTAGCCCTACTAAGTTCTATGCTTTAAGACATTATCAGGGGCGTACCTAGAGCATGTGGCACCCGGGGCGAGTCTGGGGTTTGGCACCCCCCCCTTCAATAATAATTTTAGAAAATAATTACACATACACACAGTTACAGGCAGACAATGACACACACATATTTACAGGCAGACCGCTTATATATATATATATATATATATATAAATATATATATACACACACAGTTACACACACACAGTTACAGGCAGACAGTTATACACACACACACAGTTACAGACAGACAGTCTCATATACACATATTTACAGGCAGACAGTTATACACACATACAGTTACAGGCAGACAGTTACGCAAACACACACAGTTACAGGCAGACAGTTACAGACACACACACACACAGTTACAGACAGTCACACACAGTTACAGGGTCAGGCAGACAATGACAGACACACACACACAGTTACAGGGTCAGGCAGACAGTTACACACACACTCACTCACTCACTTACAGACAGGGGCTGGAGGAGTGGATTCCCTGGAGCCTGTTCGGTGGAGGAGCAGAGATTTCTTCTGGCTGCACCACCATGTGCAGCAGTAACAGCAGTGGGTAAGGACAGAGTTAAGCCCCGCCCCTGCTCTCGGATTGGCCCGCCCCTTAATGTCCGTAGCGCCGCCCCCTTATTCATTCCGTGCGGCCAGTTCATCTTGCTGGTCACTCTGTGTGACACCCCAGCTGCCATGGGGCGCAGCTCACACATCCCCCATTAGCCCTCAGACCAGGGTCATGGCACCCCCCTACCAGGTGGCACCCGGGGCGGTCCGCCCCCCCCTTAGTCCGCCACTGGACATTATAGTGGTAAATAAGGGAACCAGCCGCGGTTACACACTTAATGACAACAGGATTTTTTTCATTTTTTGCTGTTTGCGTTCAACTGCAATTTGCATTTTACTAATTTATTGCACTGACACACATTATATATTGTTTTCTAAGGACAGAAAGGGCTTTAATTTGATGTAACACACATATTTATAAATGCTTATTTATTGTAAAAAAAAATACAGAAAAATGCAAAAAAATTAATGTGGGTTTTTGTTTAAAGTTTTTGCAATAATAATGTGTGCATAATTAGTGCAGGTTAAGGAAAGTAATTAAAAATAAATTAATTTAGTTGTTTTGATTTACAGAATATATAATGTGTCTGGGATTTTCAGTTTTTTTTTTGGTAGTTACAGGTCACAAAGCACAAGGAGTAAAATAAACTTTTAATGTGGAGCGATTTTAGAATTTGGTATGTTTGTCTTGTAAGCTTAATAGCCATAAAAGAAAACAAAATTGCCACACAAAAGTATATATTTATATAAAGTAGACATCACAGACTATTTACCTAAGGTTGTTTTGACACTTTCTACGTAGCCATTTCACCGCCAACCTCTGCTAAATATTGGAGTAAAATTGTGTTTTTTTTTGTTTTTTTACACACAAACTTATAACAAAGAACTTCTCATGTGTATTTTGTAAAGCTGGTGTGTGCTATTCCTGTACAAAGTTTTATTTTGTGTTCAGTTACATCTGCTGAGTAAAATGACACCCCCATTGTATGTCTTTGGCACTATTTTGTGAAATTACAGTGCCATATAGGAGGCCTGTTCTTTTCAGTATTCACAGTAGAATTTTGAGAGACTGATTTAATGAGCCTATGCTTCCATTTGGGGTATTATAACAGTTTCACTGTTCAAAAAAGCCCACAAAGGCCTACCATTTGTAAAAGTAGACAATCCAGGGTATCTCATAAGGTGTATATTGTGCCTTAACATGCCCCCATTTTTTCACCAATATATGCCAAAGTATGTGGTAAAAAAAAAATTTGTGCGTTTTTTACATATGGATTGCATTTTTGCTGGGCATTTTGTATATTTCACATGTGCCACTAAGTTCCAACCCCCCAAATTATGCTCGACTAAGTCTTCTGAGTAAAATGACACCCCCGTTGTATGTCTTTGGCACTATTTCGTGAAGCTACAGTGCCATATAAGAGAACCAAGCCATATCAGTTTTTACCGAACTTTGAATTTTGACGCTGGGCCTGTGTGCAATATCCAAGCATCTTAGCAGGGTTTAAATTCAAACTACCCCACAAAGGCCTACCATTTCTTAAAATAGATACCCCAGGGTATTTCTAAAGGTATATTTTGAACCTTAGAGTGGGATTATTTTTCCGCTAGCTTGTACCAAATGTAGTGGTAATAAGTGTTTTTTTCTGCCTTTTTGACACACAAAGTGAGTTTGCATAGTATATTTTGCAAACCTTATGTGTGCTACGACTGTAATACTTCATATGTTGCTCTGAGTACAGCAATACCACGTATGTACCTTTGCCAGGTATATGTGGATGTTGAAGGGGCGCATTTGAGATGCAGCCATTCAGTTATTTTCTAACTTTGAAGTTTTACGGTGTCCATGTTCCAATTTGGAGTAGTTTAGATGGTTGGTAATTGAAACTTCCCCACAAACACATACTATTTATTAAAGAATACACCCTGGGGTAATTCAAAAGGCATATTTTGAACCTTAGCGTGGGATCATTTTTTCTCTAGTTTGTTCCAGGTGTAGTGGTAATGAGCGTTTTTAAATGTATTTTTTTACTTTTTTAAACTTTTTTACTTTTAAAAAATAGTTTTTAAACTTTTGTTTTGCTTATTAATTTTTTAAACTTTCTTAAAACCTTTTTTTTTTACAGATTTAACATTTTTCTAAGCTTTCTGCAGCACTAACAGTAAATTCCCCATTTTCCCATAACTCCCACCCACCCCAGCTAGCAAAATATATAATTATAAAATATTTAAATTAATTAATTAAGTAAATTCAACCCCTGAGGGTTAAAAAATAAATAAAAGTTAATCCTCAGGGGTTAAAAAAAAATTAGATCACAGTATAATACTGTGATCTGTATTTTGATCACTGTAGGCAGTGATCGACTGGCAGGGAAGGGGTTAATTTTTATTTGGACTGGGTAAAGGGGATTTTAAAAAAATTTTTTAGCTTAATTTTGAACTTTTTAAAGGTTTTTTTTAAAACTTTTTTTAACGTTACCCCTGGTTAGCCTAACACCAAATCCCCCAATTCCCCACTAACTTCCACCCACCCCAGCTAGCTAAATAAATAAAATAAAAGCGAGCACATGTGCTGGGGCAGCCAGATCGGGTGCTCCCGGTCTGCCTCTAATACAGAGGCAGACCGGAGCATCATTAACGCCGTAATCGCGGCGATCCGGGGTTAATTCTAACGGGTGACAGGCGAGGTCCGTCACTCGTTGTTATGGCAATCCCCTGAGTGATGGACCTTGTCCGTCACTCGTCGTTAAGGGGTTAAGCAGGTCCGTCAACAACTCTTGCTCATGTATACCAAACTTATGGTCATAAATTGTTTGTTTTGGTAACCCATTTAAAAATGGTTGTTAGTAGTGGTTCTGGTGACTAGAGTGTCCCTTTTAGAATTTGTTTAAACAAGAAAGAAAAATACTGGCTCCTAATTTTTTTTTAGCTGGCTCCTATATTCCAACCAAATTTATCAGGCCAAGTTATCATGGATAAATGAAAAAAGAGGAAAGCAGCCACGTGGGCCAAACAATACACCCTAAGGATAGAGACCTGCATGGAAAACAGAACCTGAGGAAATCTCAGGGATACTGCTGTTCGTCCTGTTTATTGTGGGCATTTTCTGAGCACAGCCAAGCGCTTGTGTTATCTAAGAATTTACTATTTCAAAATTATTGAAAAGATCTTTATTTTTGTGGAGTTTTATTTTTGCACAATATTTTTTGAGAATGGATCTAACACTTTAAAAAAAAATAAAAAAAATGTTGCCAATTCAAACATGGATTCACATCTTACTCTTTGGCTCTGTGTTACAAGGAACATCTGTTTTGATGGGACTGAGATGTTTGTATTTCTGTTCAATATTAACATCTAAACTCATCATCTTATTTTGTTCCAGGACTCTGTTATGGTGTTGTCCATCTCGCGAAAAATCTTCAAGGGTTTTGTTTGTAGACTGAAGCGTCGGCCTCTCTCCTGTAAGGTCAGGATTTTCTGGAAACAAGCTATCACCTGCAGAAACAAGATAGTTGTGTGAAACAGAGGCACTTTGTGATGTTGACAGTGTGGAGTAGGAAGCTGGGTGTCTAACTTGAAAAGTCATTCTCAAAATATTCCAAAATAAAAAAAAAAAAGAGTCCTTACAAAATGGAAAATAAATATCATCAAAATGGTACAGAAAAATTCAGGTGAAACTGACCCTGACTGATTGCTATATTACTGATTTAATGGGTTAAAAGGACAGTCCAGGCTGGAGTAGAGACACGCACACGCACACGCACACACACACGTTTTAATGCAATATACAGGGAGTGCAGAATTATTAGGCAAGTTGTATTTTTGAGGATTCATTTTATTATTGAACAACAACCATGTTCTCAATGAACCCAAAAAACTCATTAATATCAAAGCTGAATATTTTTGGAAGTAGTTTTAGTTTGTTTTTAGTTATAGCTATGTTAGGGGGATATCTGTGTGTGCAGGTGACTATTACTGTGCATAATTATTAGGCAACTTAACAAAAAACAAATATATACCCATTTCAATTATTTATTATTACCAGTGAAACCAATATAACATCTCAACATTCACAAATATACATTTCTGACATTCAAAAACAAAACAAAAACAAATCAGTGACCAATATAGCCACCTTTCTTTGCAAGGACACTCAAAAGCCTGCCATCCATGGATTCTGTCAGTGTTTTGATCTGTTCACCATCAACATTGCGTGCAGCAGCAACCACAGCCTCCCAGACACTGTTCAGAGAGGTGTACTGTTTTCCCTCCTTGTAAATCTCACATTTGATGATGGACCACAGGTTCTCAATGGGGTTCAGATCAGGTGAACAAGGAGGCCATGTCATTAGATTTTCTTCTTTTATACCCTTTCTTGCCAGCCACGCTGTGGAGTACTTGGACGCGTGTGATGGAGCATTGTCCTGCATGAAAATCATGTTTTTCTTGAAGGATGCAGACTTCTTCCTGTACCACTGCTTGAAGAAGGTGTCTTCCAGGAACTGGCAGTAGGACTGGGAGTTGAGCTTGACTCCATCCTCAACCCTAAAAGGCCCCACAAGCTCATCTTTGATGATACCAGCCCAAACCAGTACTCCATCTCCACCTTGCTGGCGTCTGAGTCGGACTGGAGCTCTCTGCCCTTTACCAATCCAGCCACGGGCCCATCCATCTGGCCCATCAAGACTCACTCTCATTTCATCAGTCCATAAAACCTTAGAAAAATCAGTCTTGAGATATTTCTTGGCCCAGTCTTGACGTTTCAGCTTGTGTGTCTTGTTCAGTGGTGGTCGTCTTTCAGCCTTTCTTACCTTGGCCATGTCTCTGAGTATTGCACACCTTGTGCTTTGGGCACTCCAGTGATGTTGCAGCTCTGAAATATGGCCAAACTGGTGGCAAGTGGCATCGTGGCAGCTGCACGCTTGACTTTTCTCAGTTCATGGGCAGTTATTTTGCGCCTTGGTTTTTCCACACGCTTCTTGCGACCCTGTTGACTATTTTGAATGAAACGCTTGATTGTTCGATGATCACGCTTCAGAAGCTTTGCAATTTTAAGAGTGCTGCATCCCTCTGCAAGATATCTCACTATTTTTGACTTTTCTGAGCCTGTCAAGTCCTTCTTTTGACCCATTTTGCCAAAGGAAAGGAAGTTGCCTAATAATTATGCACACCTGATATAGGGTGTTGATGTCATTAGACCACACCCCTTCTCATTACAGAGATGCACATCACCTAATATGCTTAATTGGTAGTAGGCTTTCGAGCCTATACAGCTTGGAGTAAGACAACATGCATAAAGAGGATGATGTGGTCAAAATACTCATTTGCCTAATAATTCTGCACTCCCTGTATAATGTATTATAAGAAAAGAAAAAAAGCTAGTCAGATCTAAACAACCCTTACTGACTAAAAATGAGTTTCCCAAGAGATTAGGATTTACAGCTAATCCTGACAATTCCAACATAGACTGATTTGGAGGGACCGTCCCAATTTGTGGCTCCAACTCCAGGTTTCCATAGTCTAAATTCCCATAGAATTTAGGCATAGCATTGGCACTGGAGCCATTTGGGAGTTTCAGAATAGCTCTGTGGTTTGGCAGGCCTGAGAAAAGCAAGCCAATTTACCAAAAAAACATTTACTGATATAAGTGGACACACTGTTCACAGATAAAGCACTTTAAGTGTGTGGCGTGTTCCTTTAACACAGGTCCCTTCCTTTTTTGAGAACACCCACCTAAACAGAGCATTCATCAGCCATAACCCTGACCTGCTGGCTTCTCTGTCACCGGATTAGTAGGAGAAAAGTAACGCCTAGATTATTATTATTGGGGAATGGCTCTGTGACAGAGCAGGAGAGCCACCTGTAAGCATTTTCCCCAAAGCTCAAGTCTAGTCATTGAGCTCTGTGCCAAGAAGTGATTATCACATTCTTAAACATATATTTCAGAATCTATACATTTGATGGCATTTTGCTAGCTCAATGTATATGTTTTTTATGCTCTTCCAAAAGAACACTGGTATTGTAGGACATGAACACTTTAGCCATTACCCTGCCAGATCAGGTCCAGAAAGACGAATTACAAATTCACCTTCATTGCTACTGTCAACAAGGTATTTCTATGAAACTGTATCCACTTCCACTAGATGTGACCCGCAGCTGTTAAAGGCATACTGTAGTGCCAGGAACGCAAAGCTGTATTCCTGGCACTATTTCTCCCCCCCTCGCGCCTCCCGCTCACGGTAAATAAAGCATTAAAAACCCTTTCTTTACTTACCTTTTCCCAGCACCGATGTTGCTCAGCGCTTGGTCGACGCTCTGCCTCCTTCCGCGACGAGCAGGGTCTAATGCGCAGCAAATGCCATACATTTAACCTACCCATAGGAAAGCATTGAATCAATGCTTTCCTATGGGTAAAAATCTGACGCTGAAGGTCAGGACATCCAGCATCAGATAGCGGACAAAAGGTCAGTTTTAATTCAGGAAGCCCTCTAGTGGATGTCTGGTAGACAGCCACTGAGGGCAGACTTAGAGCTGCAATGTAAACATTCCAGTTTCTATGGAACTGCAATAGGGACATTGTACCCAGACCACTTCAATGAGCTGAAGTGGTCTGGGTGCCTAAAGTGTCCCTTTAATGGCCGGTGTATACAGCACCCTCTGTCGCATGATGTTTAAAAAGCAGTAGGCTACAACTCCTATCACATGACATTTTGTGACCTTTTGCTCGAATTGGAAGTAAAAAATCTATTTTTTATTTTTTTTATAAATTTTTTATTTTTCAAGTTTAGGTGAGGTATAAGGTACAGAATAAAGGTAGGGGTAGGTTAGTAGTATATCCAATATTTTGCAGTTTCGTTACATTTCATTGGTATCATTACGGTTTATTGCGAAACCTCATGTCAGTATTCTGGGTTGAGTGGTTCGGTTTTTGTATGTCTCAGGTAGAGGATGTCACTTGGTCATGGGTCTTGTCGTCCTTGCCTCTGGGTGCGTGTTTGGTTCTTCCAGTGTTATGTTCGTCAGGTTTGGTAAACAGATCTATTTTATGGCCTGTTAATCTTCATTCAAGCTGTCCTGTACATAGTTACATAGTAAAGTCCCCCGATTGGTATCGACCCTGTGAGTATGACTGAAATGGGTGGGTGGGAGTGGAACATCCCAATGTTAGGAAGAGTTAAAAATCTCCAATGATTAACAAATTATCCAGATGTGTAGTTTTATTAATCTGAGATAGCAGTTGCTTTACCCCATCAGTATTCTTGTTTGGGGTTTTGTAACATAGTAGGAATCTCAATCTACTATTAATGAACTCCCCTGGTATATGCAGCACACAGAGAGGTGTGCATAATGTACATATCACACAGTGACTAGCTGCACACATACTTTTTTGTTCTTTTGCTCCCCGTTATGCCTTGGTCCTATGATGAGAAACAGTAAAGTTTTTGTATTTTCCTTGGTGAGCATGAACTCAGTGGCTCCACAGAACCTGACTTTCCTTGTTTCTAGCTTTATATGTGTCCTGCATGTTGGATTATTACCCTGAGCGCACTTTGCACAACACAACCAAGTCTTAGAATGGGTTGTGCTTGCTGAGGTCAATTTGCTAGTGTCTCCAGATGAGAGACACCAGGAAACAAACCCTGGATGTTGGAAGAGGACCAAAATTCGAGAAGGTCCTGCTGGATCCAGGACAGTTGGAAAGTATGTTCCAGGGACCATGCACGTATCTCGAAATACATAAAGTTACATCTGAATCCCTTAACGTTGAGTTGTCAGGAGGCTTGCTAAATTTGGGTCATGCCATCACTAAATTTGGACAGTGTTCCCATTTCCACCATACATTTTGGTTATCAACTCAGCACAAGCCACATTTACTGAATATAAGCAGATAAGTTTGTAGCCATGGATACTATACCTGGTAATGTATATACATAGCCATCTTGAACAGTTATTGGGATCCCCAACCACTGCTCGCAGCCTTCCAGTGCACGCTGGAGGCTGAACTTGCACAGCTCCTGAATATGAATGAAGTTGCACATCCTGCTAAATTCATACAACTGAGGAGGCGGGATCAAGAGTCTCCGAGAGAAGTATTCTTGTATAGCTTCCAGAGGGGTCAACCACTAAAAAACAAAAATTGCAAAAATGAAACACACTGATCATTATACTGAGATTTTTCTCATAGACAGGGGATCTTTGGCCTAAGATTTATCTTCCACTAAAAGAGAAATAATTAGGCACCCAGGCTACACTATCTTAATGAAGTGGTCTGGGTGCAGTGGTCCTGTCATTTTAACCCTGTAATGTAAAACATTTCTGTTCAGTAGATATGGCAATATTGTGATCAGATCACAGGGCTAAACACCTCTAGCTGCTGTCTGACTAACAGCCACTAGAGGTACTTCCACTGTAAGAACCAATCTATGCTTATTATAGAGAGTATTCAACTGGAAGAGTGTGTTGCGCATGCACTTCTTGTTCTCAATGTTACTCTAAATTTTAAAAAAGGAAAAAGGTTTAAACTTACCTCTTTCCAGCACCGAAACTTACCCGGAGCAGCCACTCGCTCCTCCCCCAGGCATCGCTTCTTCATTTTCTGGTCCAATCTGTAACGGACCGTTTTGCCCAAAAGGGGTTAAAACCGTTTAGGCGATATTCCCCTTTCAGAAGCACAGACAGCTACTGCAAGCACCAATCTCCCGAACTGCAAACTACACGAATTCTCCAACTCCTGAACAGGAAACTCACGAATACTGGAAACAGCTTTACAGGAAAAGCATACAATCAGCTTATACTCCTGGCAATCAAACTGGAACAGCATACAATAAATCCTCCCCCAATAATGAGACGACACTTCACTTTGAGGGTTAAGCAGGCACTCCTGTAATGGCCACACACTGGCTTTTATGCAAGTCCCCATGCAAGGGGACATCCCACAGGGTGGGACACAGTATAACCAATCATTTACAGGGGAACCGTAAAACACACCCACAATTACATCACAATCCCTCCTCTCTGTCCTGGAGATAATTGTGAAGTAATCCAATTATCTCCAAGAACAGAGGCAAAACTCCATTAACCACATGGCAGACAAAGGACAATAAAAGACATAAAATTACATACAGTTACATTTATTCCATAAAACATAGACATTCTACATATCCCCAGATAGCTTAGATCTGAGTGCACATTACTACCGAATGGCGCTCAGATCACATACATACAGTTCAATCGCCATGGAGCCAAAGTCTTTCATACAGTCTTTCAGTATACGGCTGGGCTCCATGGCATAGCTATCTGGGGTAGCATGGCTTTAACAGTCCGCAGAAAGGCACGAATAAACCTTTCTGCCGGTAAAATAAAAGTTTAAAATGCAGGACCATAGTCTAAAGGGAGCAGGCGAGCAACCAGGCTTCTCCAGTGTACAGTGGCAAGGTTGGTTTCGCCACACAATCCAATGCTCCTCTATGAGTTTTACATTTTTTTCCCCTTTAATTTAATTTAGGAGGCCCTGAATTTAAACAGTGAACAGAACACTGTAGCATTAGGAATACATGTATGTATTGGTCACACTATAGTGTTCTATAAATTCATTTAATAAACGCTCAGGGGTTTGAAACCAATATGCAAATTTAGGCTAAAATAGAGTATTTGGAAAATGTCTTCATTTAAGTCAGGGGTGCCAAAAGGAAGATCACCAGCCAGTTGTGTACCTACCGCGGTCACTTCAGGGGGCCCGGCCGCAGCTACTATGCCAGCGACCGTGGGCCCGTCGGGCGGTACAGTCACTTCACTTGTAAGGGGCCCATGCCACCTGAGGGCCCTGCGAGCCCATGCCCCTTACAAGCACTCAGACCCGGTCAGGGAGATCTTTTGGTCTCCCTCCTGGGTCTTTGCAGAGTTTGCGCAGCAGGAAGGGGAGGAGGCACTCTGCCTTCACCTCTGCGCTGAGTCCCTGCTTTCCGAGCGTTGCCACTGTAACCACTGCAACGTTCGATTACACGTGGTGTCAGGACGCGCACACAAGAGCCTTCATCCGGCAGCGGTGAAGGTAGAGAGCCTCCACATCACCACCGGACCACCAAGGAAAACGCTGCCCCCTCCCTGGATACTGGTTGGACACAGGGAGGGGGAGATATATTAAAAATATATATATATATATATATATATATATATTTTTTTTTTATTATTATTATTATTTATTTTTTTATTACAAAATAAATATTAAAAAAAACAGATGCTCCTATTTTAGCCCCCACAGCCACTATCCTACCCAGCCAACGCACACACACATTGCATCCCTACACACACACACATTGCATCCCTACACACACACACACACACACTGCATACTGAATCCCTACACACACACAATCACAGAAACAGACACTACTTACTGGGAAGGAGCGAATGACACATATGGTGGGGATAGGATGAAGGCAATAACACATGGAGAGGCTGGTGGCATGAGGTGCATGCGGGGGAAGAGAGGGGGGTATGAGACGCATGGGGGAGGGATTAGATGCTTGGGGCGGGGCGAGGGCAATTTTTGCACTGGGGCCCAGTGATTTCAAGTTACACCTCTGTCCCCAGATGTATTAAAACTACAGCTTCCATGATGCTCTGTCATTCTAAAGGCATGCAAAGCATCATGGGAGTTGTAGTTCTATAACATCTGGTGATTTACCTTTTGAGTACCCCTGATCTACGCTATCGATTAGATTTCGAAGTCTGAAACTGAATGATTGGAAATACACAACTGAACACTCACATATAGTGATAATTTGATCGGTTCAACCAGATTTTCAGGCACTCAGTTGCCAGTTGTAATTGCAAAAAAAATATTAAGTTTATGAAAGTTATATTATTTTTTTACATTTGTTATTTTATATTTACTATTTCAACCATTTGGCCTCTGACTGCTAGCAGAAATCTGTAGATTCACCGTAACAAATTCTGTAAATTCTATTATAAAATAAGACTCCCATGTTTGTTACTGAATTTAAAATAGGCGTCAGATGGCACTAAATTAAATATATGCATTCAGCTGAAATAACATTTCTCTTAGATTTTCCTTTAGTAAATATAGGTAATTTTAGCCAAATTTTACTGATCCAGGCTGCGTTTGATACTCAGTGAATCACCCGGTGTGTGTTTTTATTTTTCAAATCTTTGTAATCATCTAGAGACAACAAACGCGGTTTCATCTCTGCAGAGATGTGCTAATTAAATGAATTCTGCACAAGGTAATTATTAACTCAGCCGTCTTCATCTAACCTTCCTTTTCAGCTGCCATGACATGTCACTTTCTACAACAATATAAACAAATATCCAATGAGTTCACCCAGTAAAAGTGTTGAGAATTGATTTGGTACATCTTCTATAAAGGGATTGACGATATACTAAGACTGTCATATTATAATACGATCATCCTAACCCCTGATCACACAAAGGAGTTCAATTAATGGCGAGCAATAAATATACAGGGTGGGCCAACATTCAGAGTAGGATTTAATTTGTTAGTAGTGATTTTTTTTTGTTACAAATACACATTATAATGGCGTGTTGGTTAGATTCATCAGAAGTAATTTCACGTAGGAACAACGAGTAAAAACAAGTGGAATTTGATTTTCAAAATGGCAGGTCCATTATTTTGACGCAAATAAAAATTCGCTTTGAAATGTGGTTTCAATAGGAGGGGGTTGTAAGGAAACCTAGTATATTCAATCCTCATTCTGTAGTTTCCTCCCGAACCGCCAGAGCATCAGTGAGTATAGCTCTCCGTTCGGTAGATGAAATAGACGAAATCCATACGAATACAAATAGCTTTATAAGATAATTCCCTTAATAAAGCATACGAATCCCCAAACATCAGCCGAAGTCAAGAAGAAGGGTACAACAGAACTGGTTTTTAATGACCACACACAGACTTTTATGCAAGTCCCCATGCAAGGGGACATCCCACAGGGAGGGACACAGTATAACCAATCAGTTACAGGAAAACAGTAAAACACACACAGCACAAACATACAATTCCCTCCCCTAGTACTGGAGATAATCAAGTCTGATAAAGTAATAACTTGATTATCTCCAGGCAGAAAAATCAAAATTTTTCCCAATATTCAGAACATCCCTTTATACATGGGGTATCCCCACAAATAATGTCCCCTGATGGCCCCGATCTGGGTGACCAACATATTCAAATTTCACCCAGATCGGTTCTTTTGTGACCAGTTAAACATGAGGTGGCTGCCAAAAATAGTTCCAGGAGTTTGGGTGGTTTTGCCAGTCTATTCAGTAAAGGGGCAAAAAAAGAATAATTCCATGAATGGATTCCCCTGGCTCTTAGCAGCGATTGTTCCCCTCATTCGAATGCACAAAAGTACAGAATAGCGCTCTTCTAGCTATTCGAGAAATAGAGATCCAGCGGTCGCTTGTTGAGACCGGTGTTCGGGAAGTCGAGTGTCCAATTTTAGTTCCAGACACTCGACGACCAAGTCCCGCTGCCTTTGTTCGCATGATAAAAGATGGCCGCCGTTTTCTAAGCCACGTGGCGTTCGGTGGCCGCACAGATAGAAGGTTCAATTGAAGCAGGGGGTGGTCTATGTTCGGTAGTTATATCTACCGAATGAATATTGAAGAAATATTATACATAAAGAGGGATTTCTTCACAGGGGTTACTGCCCATACAGCCAGGGGTACAATGGACCTCCTGAGACAACTGTTTGGCAAGCAGATCATTTCAAGATATTCCCAGATTAATTGCTTGCCCAACCTTTCAGCTCCCGAGTACTTCCTGGTTGGATATTTGGTGAGCGGGTGAACATGAACAAACAGAGTACACCTGAGCAGATCAAAGAGAATAACACAATGCGATGTTAATTCCATCATACATTCAAATAACAAATCGGAATATATAAAGCAACAGGATTTTATTTACTTAATGGATGAAACATTGTGACGAATAACACATGTAACTCTAGGATTTGTCCGCTGCTGGTCACACTTGTTTCAAATTGTGTATCAACATTGTTTTTCATTTCTATTTCTGTTTGTTTTTATTGCATCTGTGATCCTGGGATTTTTTCCTGCAATCTGTTGGAAACCTGGATACCATCTCTTGTATGGAGACGTGCTGTCTGTCATTTGACATTCTGTAAGTGCAATAAATGTGTTACTTTTATACAATCTGCACTATATTTTCCTTCCTTATTTTGAGCTAAGACGATATACCTGTATGAAGAAGTTTGTTTCTTTGGAAGATCTTCTCCACCAGCGGATTTACTCCATTATTGAAGGAGACATGCCTGAATTTCCTAACATCTAGTGAGTTCTCTAGCAACCCCAAACCCCTCTTTTGTGCCGCTTGTATTGCACTATATTCTCTTTTTGCTCCCCTAGATATAAATTTTTATAGTGTACTCCACCAATTACTATACAGGTTGTACCATTTTATTTTCTACCTTTGGTTATCTACACACATTTTCTTCCCATCTTTTTTCAAATCACTGAGCCAAAACAGGTGACAGATCCACGGAGAGAACCAGGGCAAATGAGGGATGGTGGTAAACAGGGCTGAGTGAGTGACCACATTCCCTTTCACTGAATGCCTGAAGTCATGTTGTATGTACGAATCTGTGCATCGATCTCTGCATTGGTGTGTAGGGCTGTGTGTGAGTGTAGGCATTTGTCATTGTGTGCATGTTTGTAAGTGTGTGTATGAATGTACCCATTTCCTTCTTTTCATGAAAGGTCAGTAAACGTGATCAGAAAATGCACTCACCTTGAAGGAAGTGACTTCTTTCTGGTCGTCACTGGTACGTGGCCTTTTCTCCAAACAGCAAATGTAGAAAGCTGTATCATAACGTCTGAGACTTGAACTATTGGGTATTACTGGGGTCAGCCAGTTGCTCCACTCATATAGAGCCCAGATGTTCGGCACACAACGCATCTCTTTGCACATCTGGATGAACTGGAAAGGGTTGTCCTGAACTTCCTCTCTCCATTTGGAAAGTAACTCTTGATCATGTTCATAGACCCCCATGGTGTTCTGGATGACTTTCACGTCCAAGTTCTCAGGAACCACCAACAAAATTCCAGATTCTTCAAACGTCTCTCTGATGGCACAGATCCGGAAAGCGACCTCCCCAGGAACCAGAGATCCAAACTGAGTTCTGTCGGTGACAAACATTGGAGGCCTAGTACTGGGGTGCTGTTTCACCAAACCCAGCCCAAAGTTAGGTTGTTGTTGATTTCTTTCAAACACCTTTAACCAATCATTGGAGAAGTCTGATGGGTCAACAAGACCACCTGGAAACACGAAAACATTTGGCATGAACCCACTTTTCTTGTTGCGCCTTAATAGGAGAACATCATAGTCAAAAGAGCTCTTTTTCAGATTTTGTGGCCAATAACGCGGAGCTGAATTCTTACATTTTGGCACAATACGTCCATTCTGAGATCCTGCTGCAAGTATCAGAGTAGCAGATTCTTTCCAGTGCTTTAATGCATTATTCATGGTTTCTGTTTTAATTCAGAAGAATATTTATTTTCAGGATATAAAGAAGCACAATAGGTCAAACTGTATTGTTTCCCAATATTAAACATGTAAGTTCAGTCCGTGGATACCATCAAGATCTTGATAGGAGATATAAAGACAGGTTTATTCAAAATTTTGCCACAAAAAAAATAAATAAAATATTGTTGCTAGATCAGTTTTAATTTTGCAATTTGTTAAAACGTGCAAAGGGTTCATTAAAGATTTTTAAAAATAATGACAAAACAATGCTTTTTACAGTGGTACATCTGTCAATAGTGGTTCACAACATTAAGCAGTACTAGTTCTGGTGACGAATCAATAGTTTTCCTTTAACTGTGTAAAGATTACTGGTAAACCGGAGATCAAAAGCAATGATTATTAATTTATATATCTATGAAATATAGCCATCAGAGTGTAACGGATCAGCTGGCACCCAGACTGGGTACCTCCGTTGAAGGCTGCTCCTAGCGCTTCCTGAGGGCTCCAAGCACTCCAGCTGACACCATAACCACTGCAGACTCCTCCTCCAATGTAATGTCGTCCATTACATTAAGCTGTCTGGCCATTGTGGTCTGCGCGGTTTGTATTTGTTGGACTTGGGTACTGTGGTGGTTAAAGCTGCTAGATCTGCCTCCCACATCTGTTTCAGGTTGTTTTGCAGGCATGCTAACATGCCCTGTATGTCTTTTTTAGAGGCCGGGCCGTGGTCCTCTGTTGGGCTTGAGGGTGAGCTGTCTAAGTGAGTCTTGTCGACCGAGGACGCTGGGGAAGCCGGCCGTGGTGGTGGGGCCTGTTGCGAGGGGGGAGCTGAGAGCATATGGATAAGGCCCTGTTGCTGTTTCGACAGATTAGGTTTCTTTATGTTGGAGCTCAAATCCATTGATTAAAATTTTATATAAGATTCTAATATTGTCTGATAGATTACCTGTAAGCTTTTTATATGTATTTTGGTCTTCTAATTGTCTAAATATTTATTTTACATAATTTTTTCGATTTTGGATTACATTCCCCCACCTCTTATCAGCAGGTTTAATAATAATAATATTTTGGTCGTTTGTAAGTTCTGTCAAGGCTCTTCTTTCAGCATAATTTTAATTATTTCTACTGAATTTATTTTTAGTTTTGTATTTTGTGATTCCTCGAACTTCCTCCATAACTAAATTTTCAAAGACTTGCATAGCACCACTTATTTCAGCTCTCGGACAAAAATTTAATTTATTTTTTTATTTCTGTATTCTGTAAGTATCTATCCTTACTGTTTGTGAAGAAATCCCCCTTTTAGTACCCTATTTCTGCCTATTGCATTCGGTAGATGTAACTACCGAACAAAGACCACCCCCTTGGCTCGTTAAACATCAAAGATTACTTCAATTGATGCCTCTGTCTGTGCGGCCAGCGTTCGTCTGCCGAAGGCCACGTGGCAGAGAAACCGGCAGCCATCTTTGTTCGCAGCGGGACTTGTTAGTCGAGTGTATGGAACTGAAATCGGACACTCGACTTCCCAAACACCGGTCTCAAACAGACGAACGCTGGAACTCTACTTACCGAATAGCTAGAAGAGCGCTATTCGGTACTTTGGTGCATTCGACAGAGGGGGACGATGGCTGTTAAGAGCCAGGGGTATCCATTCGGTAGTTTGTTTGTTTTTCTCCTCTTTCTAAAGTGACCGGCAAAACCCACCAAACTTATGGAACTGTTTTGGGAATACAGCCCAGGGTGAGCCAGTCACAGAAGACCTCCATAGTGTTTGCGACCCCCTGAACCGATCTGGGTGAAATTCGAATATGTTGGTCACCCAGATCAGGGCTATCAGGGGACATGTTATTTGTGGGGATACGCCAAGTATAAAGGGGTGTCCCAGTTATTGGGAAAAAGGTTTTTTTTTCTGTCTGGAGATAATTAAGTTATTATTTTATCAGACTTAATTATCTCCAGAGCTAGGGGAGGGAACTGTGGGTGTGTGTTATGGTTTTCCAGTATGTGGTTGGTTAATGTTTGTCCCTCCCTGAGGGATGTCCCCTTGCATGGGGACTTGCATAAAAGCCTGTGTGACCATTAAAAGTTAGTTCATTTTGTACCCTTCTTCTTGACTTCGGCTGATGTTTGGGGATTCGTGTGTTTCACTAAGGGAATCATCTTGTGAAGCTATTGGGATTACTATATGGTTCGTCTATTCTATCTACCGAACGGAGGGCTATAATCACTAAGGCCCTGGCGGTTCGGGAGGAAACTACCGAATGAGGTTTAAATAGACTTGGTTTCCTTACACTGTTGAAAAAAGAAATTTTAACCATAATTTCCTGGTGAATTTCTTTAAGTCAATGAAAGTGTTAAAGGGATCACTGGAACAAGTAGGGGCAAATTTTAGCCGTTCGTGCATTTAGCTTAGTATAACAGCGAGTTCAAACTGCTGAACGGGACTTAGTCTCTGCAGCTGCAAATTCAGTGTAGGAGAAGGTACAGGTCATTTTAGTTCCATGAAGTTGGCTACACATACCGCTGACCTCGTGCGAATGAACAAAGATGGCCGCCGCCACGTGTTGGTTTGCACGAACTGCGGCCACCCAGCGGTCGGCAATTTACCTACAGCAGGCTCCCAGCCTGGGAGGTAAATTGCCTGCACACGTCCACTTCTGGGTGGTCCGCCTGTGTGGTACCTGGTTCAGTAAGCCCCATTTACTGAACCAAGGGGGAGAAAGCCATAGACAAAGTATTTTAACGGTCTGGGGACATAGTCTTAAAGGGGCATTGTCACACAAAGTCTCAATATATCCCCAGACGGTTCTTAAAGGGCCAACATGGTCCAATACAAGTCCATAAACCACAATGCAGTTCTTAAAGGACCAGCAGCAGCACAATATAAATCCATTAGCCCAAATAATGTTTGTAAAGTGCCATACAACCCAGGGCCATAGTCATGAGGCAGGAGGCTGGCACTCAGGCTCCTCCAACAGCCAGGGGCAAAGGGCAACTTATCACCTAAGAATCCAGTGACAAAAGGCATTTCGTCACAGAGATGTAGTCCAAAACATCTGGAGTGCCGAAAGTTGCCTATGCCTGGCTTAGAACATTCAGCTGATTCTTAGATAAAACCTTATTAGTCAAATTAAAAATGCCTATATGAGCATCTGAGCATCTTTCCTCCCTTCCTTCCTTCTAAGGGTTCCCCCAGCCCGGACTCCTCTTGTTCTCGTACTAAATTCCTTTTTTTAGGTAGTCGTGAGCTCGTGAGGGGGAGCTCAGTCCTTAAAAAGAGGAACTGGGGTTTTCTCTCCTATCCCCAGTAGAATTATCGGACAACAGTCTAAACCGGTTGGTGTGTGTAATTGGCTGATTTGTTTGTTCATTTTTCCGATGAGGTTTGTATGGTCTAGCCTTTTGCCATCTAGGTGAATTTGTGTTTGTAACGGATCACCTGGCACCCCAACTGGGTACCTCCGTTGAAGGATGCTCCTAGCGCTTCCTGAGGGCTCCAAGCACTCCAGCCGACACCATAACCACTGTAGACTCATCCAGAGAGCAAGACAGGAACGAGCTCTTACAAGAGCTTAGTAGTGATTTAGCAAGGGAGTATGACAAGCATAGCAATCCCTTGTAGCAGATTCCCCCAATAAGAGACGGCACTCCAAATTGAGGGTGAAGTAGAACTGACTGTACTGGCACATACAGCCTTTTTTATTCACATTCAACAAACATAGTACTGCCCACAGGGTTTTGAAATACAACCAATCAATCCGTACAATACACACAGACACTCCCACACAAAATCCTCCCCTCTGCCTGTGATATGATTACTGAACACAATGGTTAATATAATTATCACAGGCAGAGAAATACAGTATTACAAAACATATCACAGTGACCCCAAAACATGCAATAACCCCATAAAAGTATATCCTCGGAACAGGGGGATCTGGGTGAACCACATATCCAAAATTCACCCAGATCCGTTCAGTAGTTTGGAAGATACAGTTTAATGCAGATTCCGCAGAACCTATACAGGCTATATGAAAAAGAATTACTGTATAATGTGTCCCTTGCTGTATAGTTTAAAACTACTGCACAATGTCTTTGTGCACCAAATACCGGCAAGATGGCACCATGTAGAAAAGTAAAAAATGCCATCCGCCATCCATTGTTCTCACCATGTGCTTCATCCATTGTTCTCACCTTGTGCCTCTGATACATGAAATGGTGGCCACCCAGTAACTCCACCGTATGTCTCCAGATGGTTCTTAAAGGGCCAGCAGCAGCACAACACAAATCCAGTATGCCCAAATCATGTCTTTGAAGGGCAATACATCCCAGGGGCCATAGTCACATGGCAGGAGGCTGGCAATCAGTCTTCTCCAATGCCCAGTGGTGAGGTCTGTTTCCCCATAGTGTTCATTATGTGAGAAAGTATAATTCCTATCTAGTCGATTTTTACTCTGCTACGCTGCTCTGGATTAAGGTACTGTGTTGTTGCCTGTATGCCCTACTGACAAATTATGGCAAATTTCTGCGGTACCCCTATTTCAGTGTGAGATATCATTTGATGTTGAGTGGAATATATAGACGTTCCACACGAAATTAGGATCATCATGCACTTTTTTCTGTGACATCTTCTCACATACTTAAGGTGACACAACCTGCTTTGGGTTTAAACCCATATTAGATTTTTATTCTATCATTATCATTATGTATACTTAACAATTACCTTGTGTGTACACTTTGGGTCTGTATCTTGCTATTATTGTTGATTAAATAAACTGCGTTTAAATTACCCCAAAGTAACTCCCTGATGGTTTGAGTTCGGGGGTAGATTAAGAGGATTTTGATTCATCCTACACAAATGGGTTTGTGTACAATTCCACAGAATTCCCAACCAGTAATTTTAGACTACTAATAATGAGTGGTTACAAACTGCAACCTAACTTCACAGGGAATTACATTCAACTGAGATCAATCAGTCAAACAGGATTCCTGAATGAACCTCC